GAGAGAGAGAGAGAGCGAGAGCGCGAGCGAGAGAGAGAGAGAGAGAGAGAGAGAGAGAGAGAGAGAGAGAGAGAGAGAGAGAGAGAGAGAGAGAGAGACACACACACACACACACACACACACACACACACACAGAAAAGCAGAGCAGCCAGACCTGGTTGGTGTAGGCGTAGGATGAAGGGTTTCGCTCGAGGGAGAGGGATGAGAGGACGGCGTCAGGGGCACCAGTGAGGAGCTGGTAGAAGAAGTGGAAGTTGCGCTCGCCTGCCGCGTGCTTCACCACACGGCTTTTCTCCAGCAGGTAGTTTTTGATGTGCCCGCCAATTGGCTCCGCCTTGAAGTCAAACATGATGTCCATGTACTTGCCCTGCGCAAAGGGTTAGGTTGGGGCGATGTGTGTGAGTGCTGGTGTGTGTTTGTGTCGAGATAATGGGGCAAACACAAGGTCCAGCGGCGTCACGCGCACTTGCACGAAATGACGCATCATGGCCGGAGTGTGAAAGGCCATGAGGGCTGCGTGCGGCTCAAGGCCAATGGCAGCATTTGGTGGCTTCACCCAACTCACGAATCTTGACGAGTTGTCGTTGACGTTTGTCTTTGCGTTTCCAAAGGCTTCGAGGATTGGCGTGGAGGCCAGCAGGTGTTCTTTCACCTGAACACATACAGGGAGGGGACGAGTCAGTCGGGTGAAGTCGGATTCATTTGCACGTGCACAGAAGGCAGAGCACAGAGGAGGATGTGCTGTGAGATAAACACAGACACATAGAATGCTAGACACGGACACACACACACACACACACACACACACACACACACACACACACACACACACACACACACACACGCCCCCTCCCGGCCACGCGTACCCGCTCAATTTCTGCTCTGCCTTTGCTTGTGTTGACGGCTGCAATGTACTCCATGACGCGCTTGCTGGCCTCTGTCTTTCCAGCGCCAGATTCGCCTTCGCACAGAGAAGAAGGTGACTCATGTGAGAGGAGACGCTGCGCGTGCTGCAGTGCAGTGCAGGCACATGCGTGCGTGTGTACAGTGTACAGTTGCACATGCATGTGTGCACAGTTCACGCGTGTGTGTGTGCTGTTCTGTTGCACGCACCTGAGATGATGACGACGCAATCCTGGTGCGTGCGGCGCATGGTGCTGTACGTGGCCTCACTGAGTGCAAAGATGTGGGGCTCGTTCTGCAATTATGCATATGTGCGTGTATGTGAGTGGGTGTTTGTGGGTGGGTGGGTGAGGTGACGTGGTCACTGAACATTGGGTGACAACGTCACTCAAAAGCGGTGGGAATCCGAAGTGCAGCACCACCACCACACGCATGCATGTGCACAGCAAGCTACAGTTTGAGCTCTCCTTCCTTATCCTTCTTATGTGTGTGTGTGTGTGTGTGTTGTGTGCCCAAGTACCAACCTGGTAGAGGGCGCGGTTTCGAAACGTCTCCACGAGCTCTGGCTTGTACAGGCCGAGGTCTGCGTATGGGTTGACGGACACGAGTACTTCGCCAATGTACGTGTAGATTTTGTCCTTGGAGAACCGGCGCTTCAGGTTGGCCACAAACGCGTCCTGTTGAGTCGCAGGCGTGTGTGTGTGTGTGTGTGTTGAAGAGTCGAGGAGTACAAGCGAGCGAGTGAGCGCCTGCACAGTGTGCACGCTTGAACATACACATGCAGACAGACACACAGACACACAGACACACAGACACACACACACACAGACACACAGACACACAGACACACACACACACACACACACACACACACACAGACACACACACACACACACACACACACACACAGACACACAGACACACACACACACACACACACACACACACAGACACACCCCTCTAGCCCTCTGACCTCTGTGATTTCATCAAGAAGGACGGCGTCGCCGACGCCATACTCATCTGACTTGAGGTGCGCCATGATGGCGACGGTGAAGCGTCAGGTCAATCGAGGACGACAAGGAGGAGCACTTGTTGTCTTGTTCGCTGTTGCTGGTTGCTTGCTTGCAGGCACAAGAAGAAAACAAAACGACTTTTGTCTTGGTTGGCAGTGGCCAGAAAAACTGACGGGCACTGACTTGGGCGTTGTTTGCGCATGGAATCTGTTCCACAATGCTTATTGTTGGTCTAAAATTTGATGACACCCCACGCACACGTGTCCACACCACGCTTACAACGCCCACAACGCCGCACAGTGTGTGCCTTTTTGCTTCACGCCACCCTCATTTCCATCGACTGTTCCCACACGCGCGCTCCACACAGAACCACCCCCCTCTCCCTTTCTTGCTTCTTCAATAGCACCACATCACAATGATGGAGTTGATGCGATTGGACGTGCAGAAGTTTGTGGACAGCTTCGAGCGGGAAATCTCTGCGCTTGGCCCCAAGTATGAGAGCGGGCACCTTGAGTCGCACTTTGGCCTCAACCCGACCTTCCTCGCAGCCGGTGCGATGCGCCTGTTGAATGTGCACGACCGTGTGTTTGAATGCGCTTGCTTGTTTGAATGCGCTTGCTTTTTTGAATGCGCTTGCTTGCTCAGTGAGATTGCTTGTTCAGTGCGCTTGCTTGCTCTTTTTCTCGACCGGCGTACCCCGTCTGCGTTGCAGCTGCGCTTTGTCACACAGCTCGCAGCTAGCTCACATCACATCACAACCACAATCACAATCACAACCGCAGGCAATGTCTTCTACTTTGTGACCCTCGCGGTGTTGTACCTCATCATGAGGAACCGCGCTCCCCTGCAGCTCACCAACTTCATGCGGTTCGTGTGTGTGTGTGTGTGTGTGTGTGTGTGTGCGTGTGTGAACATGCGTGGCTAAGGTGCATGTGGTGCTGTTTTGTCTGTCTTGCTGTGCCGGCGTGTTGGTGCGGGCTGGCGTCCTCACCTCTCACCTCTTTTTTTGACACTCAATCTCTACAGGGCGTACAACCTGTCGTGTGTTATCCTCGCTGGTGCCGTGTGCTACGGTATCATCATGAACTGCATCCGCTATGGCTTCATCTCCTACTACGGCAACGGTGAACGCATGGACGCCCGCACGGAGGGCGGCAAGCACCTGCTCTGCTTCATCTGGCTCTACTATATTCAAAAGTGCGTTGCACACGTGCGTTGTTGTTGTTTAAGTTGTTGTTGATAGCATTGAACACACCATGCTCCTTTGCTCCACTCACCATTACATGCTGCGTTTCGATGCACGCGCACACACACACACACACACACACACACACACACACACACACGTTCACACACGTTCACACAACACACACACACACACCCACTCACTCACATATTCACACTCACACTCACACGCACACACATGTTTACACATGTCCACACACGTGTACACGTTCTTGTGCCTGTCTTCTCAGGTTCTGGGAGTTTCTTGACAGTTTCATCTTCATCCTGCGCCACAAGTGGAACCAGCTCTCCTTCCTGCACGTGTACCATCACTCCTCCATCACCATCATCTCCTTTGCGTACATCTGCCTCTCCGGCAGCGGCGATGTTGCTCTTGGCGCCTTTATCAACAGCTTCATCCACGTCCTCATGTACTCCCACTACTTCCTCACCACCTTCAAGGTTGGCAACGTTGGCACAATGTTGAGTTCTGGCTGTGCACGCCGCGTTTGTCATGTGTCTACCCCACGATTTCGTCGCAGCTGTGCATGCGCTTCCATCTATCCGCTCGCCTTTACGCGTTTCCTATATGTCTCCCTCCTCACTTCCACTCTTTCAGTCATTTGCTCACCTCCTTCCACACACCCACCCACCCACCCACACACCCACACCCACACCCACACCCACACCCGCACACACACACACACACACACACACACACACACACACACACACACACACACACACACACACACACCACCACACACACACACACACAC